ACCTTTGAGGTGGCCTTTGTCGTCCTAGGGGAAATGTGCAATGGATGTTACTTTTATAAATCTTGAGCTACAAGAGCATGGGCTGCAAATACAGGTGTGGAACTGATGGGCAAAAGGAGAGAAAATACAGTAGATGAGATAGAATGAGAAGGGAGTCCTAATGGAAAACGAGAACTTGCAAACAAATACAATCGATTGTGGTCAAAACCGCACAAGATGAGCCAGGCGCAGTGGCTCACACCTGTAATCCTAACACTCTGGGAGGCCGAGGCGGGTGGATCATTTGAGCTCAGGAGTTCGAGACCAGCCTGAGCAAGAGCGAGACCCCGTCTCTACTAAAAATAGAAACAAATTAATTGGCCAACTAAAATATACAGAAAAAATTAGCCAGGCATGGTAGTGCATGCCTGTAGTCCCAGCTACTTGGGAGGCTGAAGCAGGAGGATCACTTGAGCCCAAGAGTTTGAGGTTGCTGTGAGCTAGGCTGACACCATGGCACTCTACCCCAGGAAACAGAGTGAGACTGTCTCAAAAAAAACCACAAACAAACAACGCACAAGATGGAGATAGAGCACAGATCTGGAAACTATGACCTTCAAGCTAAAGCTGGCTTACTGCCTATTTGGTTTAAAAAAACAAGTTTATTTTTTGGTTTGGTTTTGTTGTTGTTATTTTGTTTAGTTTTGTTCCAGCCATGCTTATGTTTATGTTGTCTATGGCTGCTTCTGCATTATTTTTGCTTTTTCCACAATTTTAGCAATAACTGCTCAATTGTTTCATTTGTCTTATAGAGAGTGTCTTGCTCTGTTGCTTGGGCTCGAGTGCAGTGGCACGATCATGGCTCACTGCAGCCTCCTGAGTAGCTGGGACTACAGACGTGGGCCACCATGCCTGCATAATTATTTTTATTTTTTTGTAGAGACAGGGTCTCACTATTTTGCCCAGGCTAGTCTTGAACTCCTGGCCTCAAGAGATCCTCCCCCTCAGTCTCCCAAAGCCAAAGTGCTGGTATTATAAGCATGAGCCACTGCATCCAAACTCAATACTTGACATGAGTGCTTCCATTGGCTTTACTGACATCACAGTCTTCTAATAAATTTATTTTGGCTCATGAGTTGCTCTTCCTCTATCCCAGCCATTGGCAAATATTTTCCAAAAAGGTCCAGAAAGTAAACATTTTGGGCTTTGTGGGCCATCTGGTCTGTTTGGTGACTACTCAACTCTGACACTGCAGCACAGAAGCAGCCACAGACAATACGGAAGGGAACAAGCTTGGCCATGTTCCAAGAAAACATTATTTATAAATGCTGCAGTTTGAATTTACGGTCATTTTTACTCAGCACAGAACGTGGGGTTTCTTTTCAGACAGAGTTTTGCTCTATTGCCCAGGCTACAGTGCCATGGTGTCAGCCTAGCTCATAGCAACCTCAAACTCCTAGGCTCAATCAATCCTCCTGCCTCAGCCTCCCGAGTAGCTGGGACTACAGGTGTGCACCACTGCACCTAGCTAATTTTTCTATTTGTAGTAGAAATGGGGGTCTCTCTCTTGCTCGGGCTGGTTTCGAACTCCTGACCTCGAGCCATCCTCTTGCCTCAGCCTCCCAGAGAGCTGGGATTACAGGCGTGGTCCACTGTGCCTAGCCTCTAATCACAGAATGCTATTCTTCTTTTGATTTGTGTCAACCACTTAAAAATGGAAAGTCCATCCTTAGTTCGTGGGCTGTATGAAACCAAGCTGTGGCTGGGTCGAGTCTGAAGGCCAAGATTTGCTAATTCCCCATTCTAGGTTGATACAAATGTGGGCTCCATTTCCTTTCTCATCCAGATGGTTGAGCAAGTAGACAAGGTGGTCAAAGGTCATTTCTCTTTCTGAAGAAACGGAGTCAACAATTCCGTTGCTGTGAGCTGGGGCCAGGGTTTGAGGGAGCCTACAGGAACCGGGCAGAGCATGGCGATGTCACATAAAGCCAAACCGCTTCCTCTTGGCAGCTCCGCCTCACACTCCAAGCCTCCGGGAGGAACACCACACCACCCTGACTGGCGTCCAAGTACCAGCTGCTCTTCTGACCCTCACCATCCTCCTCCTCCTCCTCTTAATCCTCCACCAGCACAAAGCAAAGGCCAGTATGTCCGTGAGAGGGCAGGGGGAGCCTGCACAGAGCCCCCCATGGTGCAAACCAAACAGGGGAAATGGGGACAGGGCGTTTGCTGAGGGTGGGGTTTGGGGGAAGGAGGCACAGAGGCGTGGGTGGCTGTGCTGGCTGATCCTGTGACTGCAAGCCTTCCTGAGCCTCAGCTCCTGTCTGCAAAATCAGAGGACAGGGCTGGCATTTTCATGTGGCACAGAGGGAGCCAGTGCCTTGGCCTCTTGTAAGCATGCAAATCGCATCATGACCCCATCTAAACCTAATTATCTCCCAAAGGCTCCACTTCCAAATGCCAACCCATTAGGGCTAGGGTTTCAGCACATGAATTTGGGGACAAAAACACACGACGTATAACAACCTCCTCCTCCTTCCAGATGTTGCCAGGAAAGAGGGCAGCCAGAGGCTGGACTGGTAAGAAGTCCTTCCTCTGTCCCAGGTCCAAGGATCCCTCAGTCCTCCGATCACACCACCATTTCGTCACCTCCCTTCCCTCCTCAGGCCTCTGAAGCTGTAGGACCACAGGAGGTCACCTACTCCCAGCTGGCCTTGGGTGCCCTCACCCAAGGGAGAGCTGTGACACCTTCCTTGGTACCAAGACCAGCAAGTACACAACACTTGCCCTGAGATAATTCACATGTCATCACAAAGCTGATTTGGACTGTAGAGCGTTCAGCTGCCTGCTAGATGGTCCCTCCTCTGGAATCACTGCTTCTAAATCTCAGGTGGACAGGAGCACGGAGATGACTCTGCTGCCCACTTGAATCTGGAGGCCTCAAGAATGTGGCTTCCATCTGTAATCCTAGCACTCTGGGAGATCCAGGCAAGAGGTTGGCTTGAGCCCAGGAGTTCAAAACCAGCCTGGGCAAGAGACCCCATCTGTATTAGAAATAGAACAATTAGCCAGGCATGGTGGCGCATGCCTGTAGTCTCAGCTACTCGGGAGACTGAGGAAAGAGGATCACTTGAGCCCAGGAGTTCGATGTTACAGTGAGCTAGGATGAGGCCACTGCACTCTAGAGCCCATGTGACAGAGTGGGACTCTGTCTCGGAAAAAAAAAAAGTAGGGAGAAACATCATGACAGGATGTTAATTGAGTCAAGGAATGGAGGTGGAGTTAATTTCCTAGATGTTGTTATAAAAAGAGATTATGAGGCCTGGCGAGGTGGCTCACACCTGCAATCCTAGCACTCTGGGAGGCTGAGGTGGGAGGATCGCTCAAGGTCAGGAGTTCAAAAGGAGCCTAAGCCAAGAGCCAGACCCAGTCTATACTAAAAATAGAAAGAAATTAATTGGCCAACTAAAAATATAGAGAAAAAATTAGCAGGGCATGGTGGTGCATGCCTATAGTCCCAGCTGCTTGGGATGCTGAGGCAGGAGGATTGCTTGAGCTCCAGAGTCTAAGGTTGCTGTGAGTTAGGCTGACGCCATAGCACTCTAGCTAGGGCAACAGAGTGAGACTGTCTCAATAAATAAATAAATAAATAAATATAAAAAGAGATTATGGATAAATGTGGCTTAATTAGCATGCAAGGAACACTGTTATTCATAATTGACAATAGTATTTTGCACAATTTGGAAGACTTATAATTTCCCTTTTCACGTGTGTATGTCCCTTAGGGTTAAATTAAGTGGTTTTGGATTAAGCTGTAAAACAGATATTAAAGATGTTTGGTCGGGTACGGTGGTAATCCCAGCACTCTGGGAGGCCGAGGCAGGTGGATTGCTCAAGGTCAGGAGTTCAAAACCAGCCTGAGCAAGAGCGAGACCCCATCTCTACTATAAATAGAAATTACTTGACCAACTAATACATATAGAAAAAATAGCCAGGCATGGTGGCACATGCCTGTAGTCTCAGCTACTCGGGAGGCTGAGGCAGCAGGATTGCATGAGACCAGGAGTTTGAGGTTGCTGTGAGCTAGGCTGATGCCACAGCACTCACTCTAGCCTGGGCAACACAGCGAGACTGTCTCAAAAAAAAAATGTTTATATTCTCGAGAGTCTATATTCAGGGCAACTTCAATCTATGCTTCTGGGGGAAAAATTTAAAAAGATATGTAGGGCAGGTGTAGTGGTTCATGCTTGTAAATCCAGCACTTTGGGAGACTAAGGCAGGAGGATTTCTTGAGGCCAGGAGTTCAAGAACAGCCAGAGCAACATAGTGAGACTCTCATCTCTACAAAAAAATTTTTTAAATTAACTGAACATGGTAGCATGTGCCTTTACTCCAGCTACTCAGAAGGCTGAGGCAGGAGAATCACTTCAGCCCAGAAGTTTGAGGTTGCAGTGAACCAAGATGATGCCACTGCACTCTAGCCCAGGCAACAGAGCAAGCTCCTGTCTCAAAACAAAACAAAAAGATGTTTACATACTCTGCCATGAGAGTCCAGAATGTCTGAAATTAGTGCAGGTGAGGAAAACTATGTACATATTGGAGACACTTTTCAATCCCTGATGTAAAGCATGTCAGAGTTTTTGTTATGTAAACATATATCCTGCCAGTCACTGTTGTGGCCCTAGTGATTTTTCTATATTTGTCTTCCCAAACTGTGCCCAGCGATGTGAGTTTATTAAGGACCTAACATGTATAAATTGCAGGGTTCATATGTATGAACCAGTCAGTTAGGAATTTTCAAGTGTTTAATTGAAATATTAACTCAAAAAAACTAAGGATGAAGCTAGAAAGCATAAAGATGTAAGCACTTACTTCCATGATAAGAAAGTGATTCACTGGGATATTAAGCCAGAAAACCTGCTGCTGAGATTCAGGGGCGAGGTGAAATTGCAGATTTTGGCTGTTCTGCGCACACTTCCTCTCTGAGGTAGGTCTGGTGGTGGGAGGACCCTGAGTACTAGTTAGGAATGCAAAATTATTCAACTTTTATTAATTATCATTGTGCATCTTAAAAGAGAAGAAACAAAACAGATGAAGTAGCAAAGCCAAGAGAGCTCCCTAAACAAACAACAAGGAACAGAAGCAGACAGGGCTCAGGAAGCCACCTAAGCACAGGGAGGCAGCACACTCCGAGAATGGGCCTGGACCCAGGGGTGCTTCGGGATCTGGGCCAGAGGCAGCCGATCCTGGGGGTTGTATCTGAGAAGCCTGGAGATCAAGTCCTGGGCTCCCAAAGGCATTGACAGGGGGAACCTCACATCTACCTGTTGAAGCCAAGAAAGAAGAAAGAGAAGTTCGGTTAGTTTCTTTGGTTAATATTCTTCCCGGTTTTTTTGTTTGTTTGTTTGAGTCCCTTCAAGGCACTCTGGACCTTAGTAGACAACCTTATGTGTGTGCCCCGGTCCCTACAGGTCCAGCAGCCAACCAGCTCCCCTACGAATGCCCAAAGGGTGACCATCCCACCTTGAGGATGCGTCTGTAGGTCTCATTGTGGGAGGCGCTCTCAAAGGGTGGATTTCCCACCAGCAGCTCATAGCAGAGCACGCCAATGCACCACAGATCCATCTTCGCAGCATATCTTCTCCCCTCGATCATTTCTGGAGGCAAGTAGTCCAGTGGTCCACACCTTGTCTTTGACCTAGAGGAAGGCAAAGAAGGGAACACTGAGCAGAAGCCCAGACTGAGGGAAATCCTCCTTCCCAGCTTCCAGTGAGAACTTAGGACATCCTGAACAGTCCTCTCCTGAGCACAGGGGTTTGGAAACAGACTTTTTAAATAGACCAAGGTTAAGAGAAGGCAAGTACTAGGACCTACTAAATCCATTATTTGGAATTATTCATATAATTATTTAGCTTATGATCCAGAATGGTTCCACAAGAATATTCTCAGCATCAAGAAAGATTTGGAGCCTGGGCAGTAAGTCGGTGGGGCGTGGTGGCACATGCCTGTAATCCCAACTACTGGGGAGGCTGAGGCACAAAGATCACTTAAGCTAGGAGTTCAAGGCTGCTATGAGCAGTGAGCTATGGTCACGCCACTTCCCTCCAGCCTGAGTGACAGAGTGAGTCCCTGTCTCTAAAACATGTATAAACAAAATAAAATTTAAAAATAAAATACTAATTTGAAAAAAAGCAACATTCAAATATAAACCCAGGTTGGTATCTGGGTCTTACTTGTGGAATAAATTAAAATGGATCATTTCTAACTAGTACTCGGGGCCCACCAACCACCACCACCAGACCTACCTCAGAGAGGGAGTGTGCACAGACCAGCCAAAATCTGCAATCTTCACCTCACCCCTGAAACCCAGCAGCAGGCTTTCTGGCTTAATATCCCTGTGAATCACTTTCTTGTCACGGCAATAAATCAAGGCATCAGCCAACTCCTCTATTATCTGTGTGAGCAAAGAAAAGGCAATCTGGAAGTGAAGCCTGCCACAATTTCCCTACAAGGTAGAATACCCCTCATGAATTTTATGATTGTAGTGGGATCTTTTATTTTTTGCTTTTCAACTCCTTTACCTCCTTTTAATAGCATTATGGTTATTGGTGGGGAAGGATTTCCTCTCCCCCATTTTTTTTGTGTTACAGGATGGACAGATCTTCCTTGTTGCCCTAGCACAGCAAGTAGCCACACAGCCTACATTGAGCTATTTAGATGATCTCCCAAAGGACTTTGAGGAAGGAGGAAATGAGAAAGAAATGAGAGGAAAGACAGATCATTCATTTTGACAGAGCAAGCTGACTTGACCATTGCTGCTGGAAGATCACTGTTGTGGTTCCCTTTCTACCAAATCTCTTGGTACCAATTTCTAAGCCAGTTCTATCCATATTCAGTGAACTCCTTCACAGCCTTTTGGTATGTTTCTTTGCATAAGGTAGAGTCCATTGCTTACAACCAAAGAATCCAAATTTATACACACTACTTATTAATATTCTACAGATACACTGAAGGTAATTAGGGTATTCAAATGTGAAACTATAAGATGTTTGTGTCATTATATAAAATTTACATATGTGTCCATTTAGGGTTTATTTAAAAGAAAATTTAAAAATAGATGAAAATTTAAAAAATAAAATTTACAGAAAATTCAGAAATAGGCCGGGCATGGTGGCTCAAGCCTGTAATCTTAGCACTCTGGGAGGCCGAGGCGGGCGGATTGCTCGAGGTCGGGAGTTCGAAACCAGCCTGAGCGAGACCCTGTCTCTACTAAAAATAGAAAGAAATTAATTGACCAACTAAAAATATATATACAAAAAATTAGCCGGGCATGGTGGTGCATGCCTGTAGTCCCAGCTACTTGGGAGGCTGAGGCAGGAGGATCGCTTGAGCCCAGGAGATTGAGGTTGCTGTGAGCTAGACTGACGCCACGGCACTCACTCTAGCCAGGGCAACAAAAGTGAGACTCTGTCTCAAAAAAAAAAAAAAAAAAAAGAAAGAAAATTCAGAAATAAATTAAAAAAGAAATCTGGACACTCATGACAGCCACAGAGACCCCCCCCCACCAGCACACAGTAAACTCATAGACTCAGAGCCTCTAGCCCCCCCTCACCGTGGCTGTTTGCTGCTCATCAAATTTCTGCTTTTTTCGCAGCTCCTTGTAGAGCTCACCCCTTGGAGCATATTCCAGGATGAGGTATACTCGGTCAGCATCATGGAAGTAATTGTACAGCCTTAGGATATTAGGGTGTCTGAAGGAAGGATGGAAAAAGGGTCATAGTTTTCCCTGAGGCCCAACACATGACGTTGTCATCAGTGATTGGTCACACAAGTGGCAACTGTGCTGGGACCAAAATAATAACAGCTTAGTCTGGGAGTGAGTAAAGGGAGAACAGGGAATCAAGATTTGGACGCCTGCCACAGAGAGGGAGATTTACACGGTATAACTGGAATGAAATGCAGAGAAAAATCTTAAAGGTAGAAGCAAAGGGCTTTCTTGGGGGTAGTATTTGATGCTATCAAATGCTGGGTTCATATGTCAGAGATGGAAGAGGAAAACAGGAGAACAAGTAAAGACCCAGTGTGGGAATCTCACGCCAAGACTGTCCTTACTGTAGATGCCACTGGATTTCAATTTCCCTGCGTATCTGGTGCTCCAGTCCTTCATTCTCTATCTGGGACTTGAAAAGAACCTTCAGGGCCACAATAAAATGGTTTTCCTTGAGGCGAGCCAGGTACACATTCCCAAATTTCCCCTTGCCTAGAGGAGGCCCGACGTCAAAGTCATCAATTGTGAAGCGCCGCCTGAAGAGAGAAGAATAGAGCCTCAGCTCGGGAGGCAGGGCAGGTGGAAGAAAAGTCAGGGATCCCGAATGCCCCCCTTCCTCTTTTACTTTCTCCTCTCTCTGCCGCCTTCCCTTCTCCTGGCCCCAGCCTGGGTGTGCTGTGGGTCCAGCGAGCCGGCACTCGCTCCTCACACCTAGCTTGGAGTCCATCCCTGGGCTCCAGTCCCTCCTCACGCCTAGCCTGGAGTCCACCCCTGGGCTCCAGTCCCCCCTCACGCCTAGCCTGGAGTCCACCCCTGGGCTCCAGTCCCTCCTCACGCCTAGCCTGGAGTCCACCCCTGGGCTCCAGTCCCCCCTCACGCCCAGCCTGGAGTCCACCCCTGGGCTCCAGTCCCTCCTCACGCCTAGCCTGGAATCCACCCCTGGGCTCCAGTCCCTCCTCACGCCCAGCCTGGAGTCCACCCCTGGGCTCCAGTCCCCCCTCACGCCTAGCCTGGAGTCCACCCCTGGGTTCCAGTCCCCCCTCACACCTAGCTTGGAGTCCATCCCTGGGCTCCAGTCCCCCCTCACGCCTAGCCTGGAGTCCACCCCTGGGCTCCAGTCCCCCCTCACGCCTAGCTTGGAGTCCACCCCTGGGCTCCACCTCCTCCCTCCCACTGGTAAGCCGAGGGCACGCACCTGGTCGAGCTGTTGGGCCGCGGGGTGGCCCGGCCTGCTGCACCTACGGAGAGCAGGGGAGGAAGATGGGGGCGGGGGCGGAAGGGGAGGGGGGAGAGGGAGAGATGTCCACACGCTCTTCCGCGCGCCGCACCCCAACCTCGGACAGCAGTCCTTCCTTCCCACCCTCTTTCTCTGGTCCTGTCCTTCTCACCTGCGGGCTCATGGTTGCCCACCTGCACCACAGTCCTGGGGTAACTCATCAGGTGAGGACAAGCTGACGCCTCCCTGAGCCCTCGGGAACTGGGAGCTCACGATCACGAGCGCCTGAAGACGGGCGGTCACTTCCAGGCAGAGGTTCTTCCAACCCACCCGCCGGTCCCTGCGAAGGCCGCAGGCTCCGGGATCCGGGGCGTCCTGAGGTGGCTGGGCAACCCGGGGCAGGACTTTTATAGCACGCGCTCTTGCCCGGGAACCGAGCGGGCAGTTCCAGACTGATTCCCATTGGATGAAATTTGCGACACCACCGGCAGCGTGCCCAATAGAAAAGATGGAAATGGGAGCTTCTGCCTGGACCCCGAGCGCCGGACCAATGGGACGGTAGGGGGCGGAGTCAGAACTAGGCGGGAACCTGAAAACACGCAGAGGTGGCGACTGGGATGGGGGGGAAGAGGCTGAGGTGCTTAGGCGGCCTGAGAGGACGCAAAAACAAACCCATAAATCCATAGGTGTGTGCGCAGTATAGCAAGTACCCAGATGGTCGTGTGAGTGACTATAAACCAACGTCAGGAGCCTGGCAGGGTGCGCCACCACAAACCCCAACCACAGGCGCCCAACCCTCCCCCCACCTCGGGGTCGTTTCTACTGGCGCACTTGGCGCACAAGCGCGCGGGGCACCACGGGAGCCCCTGAAGCAAGCAGCTGCACCCCGACCTCCCCACGTGCACGGCCACGGGCTTGGCAGCCATGGCGCCCGCAGCACTCAGGCCTGCCCTCCCACAGGCCCCGTGTTTGTGGGCTCTGTAATTAGTTTGCATTTTGGGTCTCAGACAAATCATCCCACATACTTATTTGCTTAGCAAATACAGACGTTTCAAAGTCATCTGGAATTGGATTCTTCTAGACAGGGAGCAGATGCGGGAGAAATAGAATTGAAAACACAATCCTCTCACCCAGAAGACCTCACCAGAGTCAAGTGACTTATGGCAGCAGTAAGTGCTCTGAGGAGTAGAAACAAAAAAAAGGAGAGAGGGCTTGGGTGTGGTCACTCAGACTGGGGACATATAATCAAAAACAAAATTTCCCAGCCCACAGAAGGATCACTCAAGGTCAGGAGTTCGAAACCTGCCTGACCAAGAGCAAGACCTCCTCTCTACTAAAAAATGGAAAGAAATTGGCCAACTAAAAATATATAGAAAAAATTAGCTGGGCATTGGTGGCACATGCCTGTAGTCCCAGCTACTCGGGAGGCTGAGGCAGGAGGATTGCTTGAGCCCAGGAGTTTGATATTTATATTTATTTTTTTGAGACAGAGTCTCACTCTGTTGCCCAGGCTAGAGTGAGTGCCGTGGCGTCAGCCTAGCTCACAGCAACCTCAAACTCCTGGGCTCAAGCAATCCTCCTG